ATTTTTTTGATTTTTATCGAATTTATTTTAATAAAAACCTTTTGGGGTAAAAATCTATCATAAGATAGTTTTCTATTTAATATACATAAATAATTTAGTTTATTCAGCATGAAATGGAGCTTAGTTATGTAGCAGGAGGCTGTATATTCTGCAACACTGGGACTATCGGTGAGTCAACAGTGGGTCAAAGGAGTAGCAGAGATGACAGTTGCTCTTTAAAAATTATGATTTAAATCAAATTGATTTAAATCAAGCCTTTTTACTAGTGATTTAAATCGTGATTTAAATCGTGATTTAAATCAACTCGATTTAAATCAAATCCACCCTGACCTGTAAAACAATATACTTTGCACTTATCCTAGAGAAAGGGAGCTAATTAGGGCCACATATTTCAACTGTCAAAGGAAAGCCATCCCAACTGAATTCTAGCAACAAAAACGTAAAAGGCAATAAAGCAATCAAAATCCACTTCCTTCTCGGCACCCAGTACTATGGGAAGTAGCACCCACAAGCCACAGTTTAACTGGCCAGGTGATGACTTGTCACAAGCAGGATTGACAGAGAGAGAGAAAAAAAAAAGACAGTGGAATTTTATCGTTGCGTTTATCTTTAGAAACTTCTTAACTTCCAGCTTTAGGGATGCTTTTCAAAGGAACAATTTTGTTCGTGTTTGTAAATTGTTTTAATTGCTGTTTTATTTTGTAAGCCACCCAGAGTCAACTGGAGTGGGTGGTTATCTTTACATCTAAATAATAAAAGTAATCACTTGCACTGCTGTTTTTCAGCAACGCTAAGCAAAAGCAGAGGAAATGAACCCAAATGCAGGTGAGCCAGGGTGGATAAAAATCAATGATTTTTTTAAAAAAATCAAAAAAATCAGATTTTTTTGATTCAAATCAGATTTTTTTTTATTTAAATCGGATTTTTTTGATTTTTATCAATTTATTTTAATAAAAAACTTTTGGGGTAAAAATCTATCGTAAGATAGTTTTCTATTTAAGATACATAAATAATTTAGTTTATTCAGCATGAAATGGAGTTTAGTTATGTAGAATGAGGCTGTATATTCTGCAACACTGGGACTATCGGTGAGTCAACAGTGGGTCAAAGGAGAGATGACAGTTGCTCTTTAAAAATTATGATTTAAATCGAGTTGATTTAAATCAAGCCTTTTTACTAGTGATTTAAATCATGATTTAACTCAATTTAATCAACTCGATTTAAATCAAATCCACCCCGAGGTGAGCCACTAATTCGGAAAGGATGGGAGGAGAAAAGGTCCACCAACCTCCAATGGTAGTCCTCTCTGAATGATCTGAAAACGTACATTGCACTTCTAAAGTTCTCCTGGCCCATGGAGAAACCTCAAATAAAGCTCACTTCTGGACGTCCCTGGTGGGGCCCACCACAAACCTCAGATATTGAAGGGGCAATCTCTCTTCCAGCAGGAACCTCCATCATCTTTCATTGTCATCAACCTTCTGTGAACTTTGGAAGAAGTTCAGAGAAGAGCAAGTAAAGCAGTGGTGAAATGTAAAATTTGTTACTACCGGGTTCTATGGGGAGTGGGGTAATATGACTGAGTAGGCCTGGCCAACTTTTTTTTTAACTTTTAAAACCATTTTTTCTACCACCTCTTCAGCTGAAGAAGTTGTAAAAAAATGCTTTTAAAGCCTCTGACGATCCCAGCTGACTTGCCTGATTGGCAGAGGCTTTTTTTCCTTTTAAAAACATTTTTTCTATAACCTCTTCGGCCAAAGAGGTTGTAGAAAAAATGCTTTTAAAAATTAAAAAAAAAAGCCTCTGATGATTGCGTGGCTCAGCTGGGCAATGGGGGTGGGGGGTGGGCAGGGATTTTTGCTACCGGTTCTCCGAACCACCGCCACCATCACTACCAATCAGGCAATCCAGTCCGAACCGGGAGCATTTCACCCCTGAACTAAGGCCTGGAGACTAAAACATACAAAGAACGGCTGCAGGATTTGGGTTGGGCTAGTCTAGAGAAAAGAAGGACTGGGGTGTGGGGACATGATAGCAGTATTCCAGTATTTGAGGGGCTGCCACAAAGAAGAGGGGGTGGTCAAACTATTCTCCAAAGCACCAGAGGGCAGGACAAGAAGCAATGGACGGAAACTAATCAAGGAGAGAAGCAACCTGGAATTAAGGAAAAACTTCCTAACAGGGAGGACAATTAACCAGTGGGAACAGCTTGCCTGCAGAAATCGTGGGCATTCCATCACTGGAGGTTTTTAAGAAGAATCTAGATCAGTGATGGTTAACGAAACAGAAGCCCGTGTGCCGGAGCACCAGAACCCGGAAGAGCAGCTGGCAATGGCACGTGTGCCCACAGAGAGAGCTCTGTGTGCCACCTCTGGCACATGTGCCATAGGTTCGCCATCACAGATCTGGACAGTCACTAATCTAAAAATAAACTAGGTGGCTCAGTGACTAAGACGCTGAGCTTGTCGATCAGAAAGGTCGGCAGTTCGGTGGTTTGAATCCCTAGTACAGAACTCCTGCTTGAGCATGGGGCTGGACTAGAAGACCTCCAAGGTCCCTGTTACTGTTATTTATTTATTTATTTATTTATTAGTTCAATTTATATGCCGCCCTTTTCCGGAGACTCAGGGCGGCTTATAATGCATTAAGCAATAGCTTTCATACTTTTGTATATACCTGCTTAGTAGGGCTTTTGGGCCCCCCCAAGCGGTGTTCTTTTTTATACAAAGTCAGCTTATTGCCCCCACAATCTGGGTCCTCACTTTACCTACCTTGAAAGGATGGAAGGCTGAGTCAACCTTGAGCCTGGTGAGATTTGAACTCGCTGGCAGCTAAGTACTACTTTAACAGCACTTAGTCCACTACGCCACCAAGGCTCTGTTAAACTGTTAAACTGGTATAGGTTCTCCTGCTTGAGCATGGGGCTGGACTAGAAGACCTCCAAGTTCCCTTCCAACCAGTGGTGGGATTCAAATAATTTAACAACCGGTTCTCTGCCCTAATGACCAGCTGGGTAGGTGTGGCTCAGTGGTCATGTGACTGTGTGGGCATGGCCAATTCAACATCATTCACGTCTATGGGCAAGCGCCTTAGCTGTTACAATGTAATAAGGGTTAACCAGAGAGGCAGTTTCTGTAAGCAGGGCAATAAAGATTAGGCTAGAAACAACACCAGAATGTTTCCTTCCTGCCTTCCTTACAGGATTAGCCCTGTAAAGTGGAAAAAAACCAAAATAAGATTTCTTTTAACAATCGGTTCTCCAGAATAGGTGCGAACTGGCTGAATCCCACCACTGCTTCCAACCCTGTTACTGTTAAACTGTTAAACTGGTATAGGTTCTCCTGCTTGAGCATAGGGCTGGACTAGAAGACCTCCAAAGGTCCCTTCCAGATCATTCTATTCTAAATTCGAAATCACTTATGAAAAGTCTCACCTGCCACCCTCTGGGTGAGTTGGGACTGCAATTCCCAGAATTCCAATTCCTGCCCAACACCGGGCTGGGGGGGGGATTGGGAAAAGTTATGGTCCCTGGGTTAACCTGGAGGGATCCATCCAGATCCACGTGGGAAAAGGTTACTTCTTGCATCTTCTATTGGAAGATACGAAATCGGACACCCTGCACAACCAGCAAAATCCTGGCCGCGGGAAGGCGTCATCCCCCCATCCCAAGAGCCAGAAGGGGCAAGGGGTCTCTCCAGGGCCCGCCAGACTCCTAGTCAGCAGAGCAGGAGCTGCAGGAGGGCGACCCGGGAATTCCTCCACTTCCACTCGGGTCCTAAGGACAGAACCCGCCCGCTTCCTAGCCAAGAAGTTGGAAGGTGAAACAAGCCAAGAAAAGAAAATGTGGGAAAATGTGTATGATCTTTTGTTTGTAAAGAAGAAACAATAGAAAGTACAAAATGAACGTCAAATAAGTTTAATACTTAAATATCTGTAAATATTGATGTATAGAAAGAATAGACCGCTGTATGTAGCTGAAAAGAAAAGTGATCTTTTTCTTTGTTGTGGTACTTCTTGTTGTATGTATATGTTTGATTTTTAATGTGTTTTAATGTGTTTAAAATAAAAAACTTTTTAAAGAAAGAAAAGAAAAGAAGAAAAGAAAAGAAAAGAAAAGAAAAGAAAAGAAAAGAGAAAAGAAAAGAAAAGAAAAGAAAAGAAAAGAAAAGAAAAGAAAAGGAAGGGAAGGGAAGGGAAGGGAAGGGAAGGGAAGGGAAGGAAAGGAAAGGAAAGGAAAGGAAAGGAAAGGAAAGGAAAGGAAAGGAAAGAAAAGAAATCAGGGAAGCCCCGGAAAGAAGAAGGGGCTCAAGTGGCTAAGACGCCGAGCTTGTCGATCACAAAGTTCAGCAGTTCGAATCCCTAATACAGATCTCCTGCGTGAGCAGGGGGTCGGGCTAGATGACCTCCAAGATCCCTTCCAACTCTTGTTACTGTTACTGGACGAGGGGAAGAGCCGGGATAGCCCCCACCACCACTACCCCGAGGCTGGAGATCGGCCTTAATTCGAGCCGCACCTATCCAACCCCCCCACACACACACACACACCCGACCCGGGACTTCGGAAACTCGCGGGTCAGGCAGCAGCGCTTATTCTCACAACCACCCTGGAAGAAAGAAGAGCCAAAGCAGCTTTTTGTGAAGGAGGCGTCCGCGTTCAGCGGGGATCACACACACACACACACACACACACACACACACACACATATACCCCACAACCGTGCCTCAGTTTCCCCCTCCGGGAAATGGGAACACCACAGATTTCCCACCCGACCGCCGCCGCCTTTCTCAGCCGGGCTGCCCTGAAAGCAAGCGGGCGAGGGCGGACTTGCACTCTCCAGGAACAAACTCAACCGGCCGCGAAGGAAACCGCAGGGCGCGCCGCAGGCGGCTCCGGGGAAGGAAAGGAGACGGAGGAGAGGAGAGGAAAGCAAAAGCGATCCAAGGAGCCCCGGCCCGACCTTCCCCCCCTTCCCTCCCCTTCTTTCCCTTCCCTTTTTTACCTTGCTGTACAGCTCCGTCACCGACATGTCCCGGCCGGCGATGCGCAAAGCCGAGCGCGGCGCTGGCGCCCCGGAGGAAAGTCCCGAGGCAACTCCGAAGCATGCAAGCCCAAGCCGGCGTTCCAGGCGCGGGGCGGTGGTGGTGGTGGTGGTGGTGGAGATACCCAGGGGACCCGTCGGCCGAGGAAGCTCCGACGGCCGGCGCGCTCCGGTGGAAAAGCGCCCCGCGCGACCTTTGCCCGGCCTCTCGGCCCCGACTTATTTACCCAACGGCCGGCGAAGAGGCGGCAAGGCGGAAGGTGGGGGGGGGGGAGAGGAGCAGCCGCTGCCCGGCGAGGCGAGCGGGCGGAGCCGGGCGCCGCTCCCTCGTCGCCAGGTAGGGGAGGCGCTGGCGCTCGGCGGGGAAGGTGGGGGAGAGGCGGCCGCCCGGTTCCGCTTTCCTGGCGCTCGCTTGCTTGGCGCAGGTGGGAGAGAGCCGGGCGAAGCCCGCGGGCACGGCTCGCCCTCTGCCGGCCGAGGCCTGGAAGCAAGCGCCGCGCCGTCCGGCCGGCCGTCGTCCCCACTCCTCTCACCCTCCCGCCGCGATGGCGCCTCGCGGTGGCGCGGCCGAACTGCCGAGGGACGGCACGGCTAGATGCCCTCGGGGGACCCCTTCGGCTCTTCAGCACTCTCCGAGGCTCCCTCCCTTTCCTTTAACTTCTTCCCGGGGCAAAAGCTGCGGTTTCACCACCGGCTGTCTTCTCCGGAAGGTGCCTGGGGGAAGAGCGGCAAATTTCCTTCCCTTTTTTTTTTTAATATATAAATAAGGCCTGAGGATGCGACGTGTTGAGGAAAGTTGGGAAGACGCATCCTACACCCCGGTCCCATCTTTTTTTTTTTTTTCTTTTCTTTTTCCTCATCCCTCTTTTCCCAGCCAGGCTCCAAAAGATGATGACAAGCCCTGATTTGAGGATCTACTTTGTTATAGTAAAAGATGGCATCCTGAGTAAGTCCTTGGAGAAAATCCCACCACCACCACCACCACCTTTGTCCTTCTGGGAGAACATCAGGAGCTCTGGCAAGATCCTCAGATGGTTCTCTAGGTAGTCCGAGTCCCACAATTCTTCTTGGCTGGTGAGATGCCAAGCCCACCCATGGGAGGCTGCCAGGTTGAGAAAGCTACATTATCTTTTCTTTTCTTTTCTTTTTTTTTTTAAAAAAAACTCCCCTGGAAAGGATCTGTCAGACAATTTTACCGTCTGACCGAAGGGAGAAGGGAGGGAGAGGGAAAGTAAATGAATGGGGAAGGGAAGGAAAAGAAATAAATGGATGAAAAAGGGAAGGGGAAGACAAGGGAAGGGAGAAATGTGAGAGGAAGGAAGGAAGAAGAGTGGGAAAGGAAGGAAGAAGAGTGGGAAAGGAAAGGAAAGGAAAGGAAAGAAGGAAAGGAAGATAAAAGAAGGAGGGTAGGGAAGGGAACATAAAAGAAGGAGGGAAGAGGAAAGGAAAAAAAATAATAATTTGTTCAGCCAAATTATTTAATTCGTTTTTATTCTATTTTAAATTTTTGTATTTATGTGTTTTATCCTGTGGCTGTTCACCGCCCTGAGTCCTTCGGGAGTAGGGCGGTATAGAAATTTAAAAAAATACATACATACATACATACATACATACATACATACATACATACATGCATAAAAGATGGGGGAAAGGAAAGGAAGATAAAAGAAGGAGAGTAGGGAAGGGAAGATATAAGAAGGAGGGAAGAGGAAAGGAAAATAAAAAGATGGGGGAAAGGAAGGGAAGATAAAAGAAGGAGGATAGGGAAGGGATGATAAAAGAAGGAGGGAAGAGAAGGAAAGGAAAAGAAAATAAAAGATAGGGGAAAGGAAAGGAAAGTGGGGAAAGAAGGAAAGAGAAAGGAAAGGGAGAAAGGTGGAAGGAAAGGAGGGAGGGAGGGAGCCTCTCTCCCTCTTCCTTGGATGACAGTAGCACAGATAGGACTTTATTTTTTTATTTATTGATTTCATTTTTATTTATTTAGTTTGTCAAGCATGTATGAGAAAACAAGTATAAATATGAACATAACATATAAACATAAACAGGTATAAATATATACATAAGAAATGAGTACGAATAAATGCAAACAGTAGGACGGAGACATTCCTGCAATTTTTGAAAGATTTCTAGGCAAACGAAAGAACAAAAAACCATAGTTTGGCCTCAGTTTTGAAATGTGTATGTACAGGAGGCGTTTCATGAATATCAGAAAGTGTGCCTTTATTAAATCAATTGCTGCTTCATTGCATCACAGGCAGTGAGTAACTGAATTAAGCGTGGGAAAAATCAATGAATAAGAGGATCCCACGTTTTGCCTGACTTGCGTAGATGTTACAGCATATGTTCGTATCGAAACCATTGTTTGCTGCTCTTTCTAGCATTTTTTTTTTTAGTGTGAGTGTGCACATACGCACACCCACACCCACACCCCATGGTAAGCACTGGCAATAAATACGGACTGTCTCAATCATATGCCAAATGACTAGGAGAGTTTAGAAGTCAGAGATTCTCAGTCCACCTTACCTACCAAGGGCTAATCTCTCTCTTGGCTGTGTTTCCGTGACACAGTGAATCACAAATCAAGGAGCCATATTTTAGCCCAGTGTGCTGTGTGATTTTTTAAATTTATTTTTATTTTATTTCGAATTTATATACCGCACCTTCTCCCAAGGGACTCAGGGCGGTGTACAGCCAGATAAAAACATACAATACAAACATTAAAAGCAATTAAAAAGATATATATTAATTTGGCCCCAATTTAAAATAACAAACCAATTCAAATTTTTTAAAAAATATATTAAGCCAGCCCGGCTTGCTGAAAAAAGAAAGTTTTAAGGGCACGGCGGAAGGCCCCGAGGTCTTGGATTCTCCTTATATCTGGGGGCAGCTGATTCCAGAGGGTAGGTGCCCCCACAGAGAAGGCCCTCCCCCTGGGGGTCACCAGCCTACATTGTTTGGCTGATGGCACCCCGAGGAGGCTCTCTCTGTGGGAGCGTACAGGTCAGTGGGAGGTCATCGGTAGCAGGCGGTCTCGAAGATAACTAGGTCCTATGCCATGGAGCGCTTTAAAGGTGGTAACTAACACCTTGAAGCGCACCCAGAAGACCACTGGGAGCCAGTGCAGCTCACGCAGGAACGGTGTTATGTGGGAGCTCCAGGCGGCTCCCGTGATTACCCGCGCAGCCGCATTCTGGACCAGTTGGAGCCCCCGGGTGCTCCTCAAGGGGAGCCCCATGTAGAGAGCGTTGCAGTAGTCCAGGTGCAAGATTCCAATCTATGTGTGACGTTATAAATCACAAGTTCTTGCACCCCACGGGGTTCGTATCTATCTTGAAGGCTGGCAAGATCTCAAAAGTGTAGAATCTGTGATGTTATATTCCTTTGACTTCAAATTGCTGCTTCTGGGTTGCATTGGAATCACACAGCGCACTGGGCTAAAACATGGCCCATTGATTTTGAGAGAAGTCATGGATTTAATAAGGGGAAACCCACAGGTGTTCAGGGCCGGATTTTCCTATAGGCTAACTAGGCTTCAGCCTAGGGCCTCAAGATCAAGAGGGGCCTACATTCAAATTATTAGCAAAATTTAAATTACACTTTCACTATAGGTGAAAGGGCCTCATAAGTGGAATAGCCTAGGGCCTCTTTTCATCTAAATCTGGCCCTGCAGGTGTTCCTGATATTCATGGAACACCTCCTGTACCCACACTTTCCAGAACTGTAGCAAAGCTGTGTAGGGTTTTTGTTCTTTTGTTTGCCTGGAAATCTCATTCATTACTTTAGCATGTGCAATAGTTGGAAGGGACCTCAGAGGTCTTCTAGTCCAACCCACTGCTCGAGCAGGATACCCTATATCAGTGATGGCTAACCTTTTGGCTGTCGCATGCCAAAAGCAGGGGGGACCGCGGGGGGATCGTGCGTGTGCGTGCCCATACCCATAATTCAATGCCACCAGCATGCTCCCCCTGCACATGTGCACGTACCCCCCCTGCACCCCGTTTTGGCCTATTAAGCCTACATAAAGCCTCCGAAGGACGAAAGGGGCCTCCCCCCCCCCCCCCGAGGCCCTCCAGAGGCTAGAAACGGCCTGTTTTCTGATTTCCGGTGGGCCCAGTAGGCCTGTTTTTCGCCCTCCCCAGGTTCCAGAAACTTTCCTGGAGGCTGGGAAGGCTAAAAATGGCCTCCCCCCGGTCCCCCGAAGGCCCTCCAAAGGCCAAAAATGCCCTCCTAGAGCCTCTGTGCGAGCCCTGTATCTACCTGGCATTCAAAACAGGCTGCGTGGAGACTCCTGGGAGGGGAGGGGTGGCGTGGGTGGGGCCAACCGAAAATCAGCTGGCTGGCACGCACATGCACATGTGCGTGTCCACACCCATAATTCTATGCGCCCCACCCTCACGCATGGGCTCACGACACCACCCCGCTCACCCCACTCCTGGCACGTGATGGCCCGGTAAGCCCGTTTTACTCTCTTACCTGGCTCCAGAGCCTTTCTAGCAGTCTGGGGAGGGCGAAAACGGCCTTCCCTCCCCCCCCCCGAGGTCCTCCGGAGGCCGAAAACGGCCCGTTTGCCAACTTTCGGCCTCCAGAGGACCTCCGGTGGGTGGGTGGGTGGGGGAGGCGTTTTCGCCCTCCCCAGACTCCTAGAGAGGCTCTGGAGACTAGGGACAGCAAAAAACAGGCCTTCCCCACCCCTGAGGCCCTCCGGAGGCAGGAAACAGCCTGTTTCCCTACTTCTGGTGGGCCCAGAAGGCCCGAAAATCAGCTGGCCAGCGTGTACATGCGCATCGGAGCTGAGCTTGCAAGCGCACTGATATAGGGGGTTGGACTAGAAGACCTTGAAAGTCCCTTCCAAATCTAATTGTTATTCTGAAGGCAAGCTATTCCATTGGTTAATTGTTCTCTCCATTAGGAAATTTCTCCTTAGTTCTAGGTTGCTTCTCCCCTTAGTTAATTTCCATCCACTGTTTCTTGTCTTGCCTTTCGAGAGCAATGCACCTCTTATATCACTCCACAGTGATTTCTGTACAGGTCCTCAAAAATCATTCCAGCCCAAAGCCTGAATTTCATGAGACGTCAGGCTGAATTTTGTAGTTCAGTGGTTAGAAATGACCAGGCATCTAACCACTAAAAATGCTTCTCTGTGGTTTTAACGATATGCCGAGTCAGATATTCTTTTCATTCTGCATCAGTGTTCCTTACAGATGCTTTTAAATTAGTTCTCTATTCTAAAGCGCTGGAGTGAGACGAAACCCTCTGAGGTTGACTTCTGGGAACAAAGAGAAGCATTTAGAAATTGCTTTGATTTGGGGGGTTAAAAGGTCTACCCATCTGCCCAGAGCCATATAGGAATATTGAACGTGGCAGGAAGCTCGCTACTCATTTGCGGATACCAAGGACTGTCACCAGAGGCATGGAGGGACCCTGGTTTATGATGAACACAGCAAGAAACCTCACAGAATAGAAGGTGGAGGAATTTCTAGGAGTAGATCAGGGATGTCAAATTCAATTTCATTAAGGGCCGCATCAGAGTTGTGTTTGACCTCGGGTGGGGTGGGGGGTTGGGGGTAGAGGTAGGTGTGGCCATGGTAGGTGTGGCCAGCTCAGCATTACTCATGGGATGAGCCTTGGTAGCACAGTGGACTAAAGCACTGTTATTAACATCAGCTGCTTGCAATTACTGCAAGTTCAAATCCCACCAGGCTCAAGGTTGACTCAGCCTTCCATCCTTTCAAAGGTAGGTAAAATGAGGACCCAGATTGTGGGGGCAATAAGCTGACTTTGTATAAATATACAAAAGTATGAAGGCTATTGCTTAATGCATTGTAAGCCACCCTGAGTCTCCGGAGAAGGGTGGCATATAAATTAAAGAAAAAAAATTGAGGCTCCATTTTTGGCCACAATGGCCCACCCGGGCTCAGTTTTCAGCCGAGATGGCCTCCTGCAGCCCTCTGCCAGCGCAAACGGAACTTGGGGAGGCCACATGCGGTCTGTCCAGGCTTAGTTTTCACTGGCAAAGGATTTTCTGTTTCCCGATGGCCTCTAGAGGGCCTGGGGGGCGGGGGGGAGAGGCCGTTTTCACCCTTCCCAGGCTCCAAGAAAGCCTGGGGAGGGCGAAAAACGGGCCTTCCGGGCCATCGCATGCCAAAAGCGGGGGGAGCGTAGGGGAGTCGTGGAGCGCATTCAATAATGGATGTGGGCCAGTGGTGGGTTGCCCCTGATTCGGACCAGTTCTATAGAACCGGTAGTAAAACCGGCGGGAGGCTCCACCCACTGACCCGGACATCATCATAAGTGAACTGCGCATGCGCAGAAGTGCGCACAGGCACGATGTGAACCAGTAGTAAAGGTAAGTAGAACCCGCCCCTGTTGTGGGCGCACGCGCGACCCCCACACATTTTTGGGACACGAAGGCAAAAAGGTTAGCCATTACTGCTATATACCATGTCCAGTCTCTTCTTAAAAACTTCCAGTGTTGGAACACCCATGACTTCTGGAGCCGCTGTGGCTCTTCCTTAAACGTTCGGCATCTTTTGATACTGTGGGTTGTTGTGTGGAATCAAATGCAAGACACACACCCCTCCCAGAAAAAAAATAATCAAGGCTCATTACGGTAATTATTTATATAGGAGCAATTCTCTCCAGGAAATAATGGGAGGGATTCCTAGAGACAAAAGGATGTACTCATAGTTATGCATTTTAGGAAAGGAGGAGAAAATGATACAATCCTATATATGCATAGATATTAGATGGTGTAAGCATAAATATTCATAATTAATAAACCTCAAGTTTCTTCCCCACCCCTCTATTGTTGTTATACTCGAGAATTTTTGTCTTAATAAAAAGAAACACATCAGTTACATTGCCATAGCAGTTTTGATGACGCGTACAGAGACTCAAAAGTGTGAGAATGGAGGACTTCAAGGCTGTCCCACTTAGCACACATTCCTTCTGTGTTTCTATCTTGCCAATACATTCCGTTCCTCCAAGAACGTGTTTTCCTCAACAATTCAGTCATATTGGGCCAACTTGAGACGTTCTTATCTGTGGGCCAGTCCCCCAAAAGTAGCGTTAGAGTAGGAGTCTCCAAACTTGGTAACTCTAAGATTTTATGGACTTCAAGTCCCAGAATTCCTCAGCCAGCCATTCTGCTTGGGGAATTCTGGGAGTTGAAGTCCACAAGTCTTAAAGCGGCCTAGGTTGGAGACCCCTATGTTAGGATATTGAATTGAATGTAGTAGCTGGAAGAGTAAAGTACAATAGTCCAGAACACACAGTTGTAGTCGATTAGTTAGAGAGTGCTGACTCATGCGTGAGGCAATCTACACTGTGTTTGGTTGCTGTAAGTATAAGGGAGTGTGTCCTCTTTTTTCCCTCCTTTTTCTTCTCTGTGTTCTGTATACAGGTAGTCCTCGACTTACAACAGTTCATTTAGTGACCATTCAAAGTTACAACGGCACTGAAAAAATACAATTGCTATCTCCATGTAATATGTCATATTGAAACAAATAAACCATAATATAGTTTAATTTGATGGCCTGTTCACTTGGGATACAAAAATAATTGCTGGGTTTCACATAAACGCCATTTTAGACTAAAAACTACCAAGTGTCTTTCTAATGTTACACACACAGAAAGAGAGAGAGAAATTTCGAACTATGAAATGTGTAAAGTTTATTACTTCAGTTACTATGGAATACTCCAGCCTAGTTTTGTCATTTTTAATAAATTTAATTTCCCTATTTTGCAGAAGCAGTAAATGAGCGGTTGGAGAGGAAGGCAATATAAAAAGAGCCTTGATAGTACAGTGGTCTAAGCACCCTGTTATTAACACAGCTGCCTGCAACTTCTGCTGGTTCGAATCTCTCCAAGGCTCAAGGTTGACTCAGCCTTCCATCCTTTCTAAGGTAGGTGAAATGAGGACCCAGTTTGTGGGGGCAATAAGCTGACTTTGTATAAAATATACAAAAGTATGAAGGCTGTTGCTTAACGCATTGTAAGCCGCCCTGAGTCTCCGGAGAAGGGCGGCATATAAATCAAATTTTTAAAAAAAGGGGGGGATGCAATTGAACTTTTTAGTGTTGGAACTATGAAGCACAAAATGAATTACGGGTATAGGAGGTAAAAATTTAAGACACATTTTAGAATGGTTTAAAGGACAAAAGGACAATGTTTATAGTATTTTTTTTAGTAAGGCTGTGATTTTCTTGTAAAGTGGATTTTTGAGTAGGCTGAACCTGTTTTTCCAGACTGATCCAGAGGTACGGGGTATCTTCCCTAGAAGTCTGGTGCCTTAAAGATACGTTTAATTACTGTTCCCATCATCCTTAACCACTAAAAGCAATGGTTACGAACACCAAAATATTGGTATTACCATCTAATCTGTTTAGAGAGATCCCAGGTTGGGGAAAAGTTATATAAAATGGAGGAAGCAGGAGTAATTTATAGCACATAACTCTCAGTTGTAATGTGGGGAGCTGAGAAAACCAGATAGGGAAGAATGCTGATAAAACTTCACAGTAAAACATTTGAGAAGGTTTACTTGTTAGCTGTAAATTAAATTCTAAGGTAAATCAATCACTTAATACAGCAACAGAGTAGATGCACTAACAGACACATTTTCTTGTGGGACATTTTATGCTGCCATGCTACACTATTTAACAAGTTTTAAAATGCAATAAAAGAAATAAACTTTGATACCTATCAGTGCCTAAAATAATTTTGGAGACATATTCTTTAAGGTTTAGGATCCTTACATTCTGAAGTCTAAAAGTGAGCTGCTAAATGGAAGATACATTTGGTGGTACAGTATTTATCAGACCTTCCCAGGGAAGGTTCGAATCTCGCTAAGGCTCAAGGTTGACTCAGCCTTCCATCCTTTCTAAGGTAGGTAAATTGAGGACCCAGTTGTGGGGGCAATAAGCTGACTTTGTATAAATATACAAAAGGATGAAGACTATTGCTGAACACATTGTAAGCCGCCCTGAGTCTCCGGAGAAGGGCGGCATATAAATCAAATTAAAAAAAAAAAAAATAGCTGGCAGGATTTTTTCTTCTTATCAACACCTTAAGGCTTTTTTAAAAAAAATCGTTATTTTAAAAAAATCTTTGCAAAGTGAAATTAATCTAATCTTAATATAAGAGGAAATAGTCTGCTAGTGTCAGTTAGATCTCTGGTATGTTCACTCCGAGCCTTGCAGTAAGGAAGCATGAAAACTGTGGCACAAAGTATAAAACCATTTTAACCTTTTCTACTTTTAGGCTGATTTTCTTTTTTTTCTGCATTTTATCTGGACGCCAGGGCTTTGAATTCTGTTTTCTCATATTGGTTTCAACATTTCACTCTGCACTGTGATTGCACCCATACTTTATGATCATCCCATCATTCAGACAAATATGTATATTCAGTCAGATTTCCCAAACGGCGCACTTGCCAGTTTGACAAAATCAATTAGAATGGTGCTACACAATTCACACAGAATTTACAGATATTACATAAATTCAGAATAAATGAACATTTGCCTTTAGCAGACTCACTTTGTCTTACTGCTTTCGTTCTACCTACTGAGGGGATGTTGAGATGATAGTTCATGTCTTTTCCAGATAATTTTTATTATTTGCTGGGACTTCTCTGTTATTTCATAGATAGAAATCTACAGGGCAAAGATTTATATTCCTCCAAATGTAATTAGCATGATTTCTGTAGATCCCTGTTACTGAGCAACAGCTCACAATGCTTTCCAAATCACAATGGACTTGTTCATGTGACATAATCTGCTCTAAATCTTATTTTGCAAATGGTTAGATTCTCACAGCATGCTAAGTTAGATGTTCCAAAATGCACAGTATGACTGAAGAGTTGTGTAAATGCTGCTCCTGAAATAACCACTCACTAGCAATAGATCAGGGTGGATAATTTAAAAATGTCAAATTTAGACTTTCAAAAGCCAAACCGAACAAGATTTAAAAATGATTTATAGCAACTCTTCTTTTAAGTTAGTATTTATTTCTTAAAGTTTTAATAGCTGGAAGACTTTATTTAAGATATAATTATTTTAACATTTAAAGAGAAAAAAAGTGGTGAGGAGAGAAGCTTTTACCTGGACAAAATAATAATAATAATACTGAAAGATATTCCTTCAAACTCCCGCCCTTTCCTTTCTATCCCTGGGCTCAGTTAGCATCGACATATCCATATAGGGAACCGATACTAACTCCTAGAGCTAACGACTAGCTGCCTCCTTAAAGGGTGAAGAAATTTCAACTTCATGTATGGTCTGGAAAGGATATCTGCCAACTTTTGATGATAAAGCTTTTCCGCTTCCTCTGCCAGGGCATATTCACGGCGCTCCTCCTCCTTTTCCATTTCACGGGCTTCCTTGAGGTGATCCATTTGAGCACGGAGTTCTTCCCGGTATTGTTTCGATTGCTGCAAACGCCTGCAGGGAACATGTACAGGAGAAAGGAGTTTAGCACTTGGCACGTTGAGCACTTGGCATGGAGGTTCAGAAGCCAAGAACTGGTTCCACAATTGCCTTTCATCTTCAGGAGCCGTGGTGGCACAATGGTTAGAATGCAGTACTGCAGGTTGCTTCTGCTGGCTGCCGGCTGCCAGCAGTTTGAATCCTAACTGGCTCAAGGTTGACTTAGCCTTGCAGCAAACAGCAAACAGCTTGGTCAGCTTCAGTTATCGCAGCCCCAGCATGTGGCTCGTCAGGGCTCCGCTCCATTGCAATCACCACCAGTCAATTCTGCTGAGCTGCTGCCGCTGCCAGAGAATACTGGAGCCTTCGCTGCCGAGCAGCTGATCAGTTGGATTGGCCTCCCGGAATACCACCAGTTAACTGTTTTAGGCAGTGGTGATTGCCGCCGCCGATGCCGATCGCTGCCACCTATTGTCGTTGTCGCCATTTGGCAGCGGTGATCGACAGCAATTGGCAGCAGTGATCGGTGGCGGTGATTCCCGCCGCCTAGAACAGCTGATTGGCAGTATTCTGGGAGGCCGATCCAACCACCGATCAGCTGCTCGGCAGCTAAGGCTCCAGTGTTCCCCAGCGGTGGTGAACGGCAGCAACGGTGACACCAACCCCCCTGCCCCCCCACCACAATATTAGCTCTATAAGACGCACAGACATTTCCACCCACTTTTTGGGGGGATGAAAGTGCGTCTTATAGTGCGAAAAATACGGTAAGTCCAAGTGCTATTGCTACTTCCCCAATCTGGTACACCCCAAAGGGTTTGGAGCCCAACTGCTTTCTTCTCCAGGAGCACAGACAAATATTATACTGGTTTCCAGTACAAGTAATCCTCCATTTCTGACCACAAGAAGACCAGAATTCCCATTGGTAAGTGAATCATGCCTGATTTTATGAACATTTTGCCATGGTTGTTAAGCAAATCAGTGCTGTCATTAAGTGAATTGCATGGTTGTCAAGTGAATCCATCTTCCCTCATTGACTTTGCTTGTTGGAAGCCAGTTAGGAAGGTCACAAAAGGCAATTTATATGATCCTGGGGCACTGCAGTTGTGCTAAATACAACATGCTGGTTGCCAGGGGTGAAATGCTCCCGGACCGGATCGCCCAATCCGGTAGCGATGGAGGCGGGTGGTTTGGAGAACTGATAGCAAAAATCCCTGCCACCCCACCCTATGCCCAGCTGAGCCGCACAATCATCAGAGGCTTTTTTTTAACTTTTAAAAGCATTTTTTCTACAACCTCTTTGGCCAAAAAATGCTTTTAAAAGTAAAAAAAAAAGCCTCTGATGATTGCGCGGCTCAGCTGGGATCGTCAAAGGCTTTTAAAAGAAAAAAAGCCTCTGCTGATCAGGCAACTCAGCTGGGATCGTCAGAGCCTTTTGAAAGCATTTTTTCTACAACCTCTTCGGCGAAGAGGTTGCAGAAAAAATGGTTTTAAAAGTTAAAAAAAAAATTGGCCATGCCCACCCAGTCACATTACCCCGCACCACCAAGCCACGCCCACAGAACCGGCAGTAACGAATTTTAGATTTCACCACTGCTGGTTGCCAATTACCTGAATTTTCATCATGTGACCATGGGGATGCTACAACAGTTATTAGTGCAAGGACTGGTTTTAAGATACTTTTTTCAATGCTGTTGTAACTTCAAACCTGTCGCTAAACAAATAGTTATTACGTCAAGGACTAGCTGTGCACATGTGCATTCAGCAGAAACCACAGTGACATCACATCATCTCATGACATCATGTGTGTGATGGTGCCCGTGACATCACTTCCCCCTCTTTGAAGATGCCCTTGGGAAAGTACAGGTAGTCCTCGACTTACAACCACAACGGACCTCAAAATTTCCGTTGTTAAGTGAGACATTTGTTCAGTGAGTCCTGCCCTATTTTATGACCTTTCTTACCATAGTTCTTAAGTGAACCACTGTATTAATACGGCTGTTGTTAATCTGGCTTCCCCATTGACTTTGCTTGTCAGAAAGCTACCAAAGATGATCCCAGGACACTGCCAACCGTCATAAATATGAGACAGTTGCAAACATGTGAATTTTGATCACATGAGGCATGGGGATGCCTCCAGGGTCGTAAGTGTGAAAAATGATCATGTCCCTTTTTTCAATCCCGTTGTAACTTTGAATGGTCACTAAATGAACTGTTGTAAACCGAGGACTACCTGTAGTAGGAAATGCCCCTTGATTGAGAAAAGCCAGGCCTGTTGACAGGGCCATGAGCAATTACCTTGTGCAGGTCTCTTGTTCTATCTGTTGGTATTCCTGAATGGCGGCCTTTAATAATTCCTTGTCCTGTAGAAGATCTTCCTGCTCCTTGGCGTTTCTCTGCACTGAGGGGTGGAAAACGGCACAAGTCATTGGCTAATGTCGAAACAGAACACGGGGCTCCTTGGACAGCCATGCTCAGTAGTTCCACCCCACTTTCTTAATGCAGTTTTGGTCATGACAAGATCATAATGGTCATTACTACATTACATACTACTACATACAATTACTACATACATAATGTAGTAATTGGTCATTACTACATCGTAAACAGACAATCCATGCACTGTAGGGTCCTTGTTTCAAATATACGGGCAGTCCTAGGGTTACGGCCGCAATTGAGTCCAACATTTCTGCTGCTAAGCAAGACAACTGTTAAGTGAGTCTTACTCAGTGGTGGGATTCAGCCGGTTCGGACAAACCGGTAGTTAAAATTGCTGACTGTCCCCAACAGTTCCTTACATTTATCCTCAATCTGAAGCTTCCTTGTGTCCATGACTTCTTTGAGTAACCGATCTCTGGCTAGTTTCAGGGCCCTTTCCTTCTCAGCTCTCTTGGCCCACATTTTGGCAGCATCTTCGGCCCGCAACCTGTCCATCTCTTTTTCCTGTCGCTTGTCCTCTTCCTTCTGTTGAGCCAGGTAAGCCTGATACATCTGCTGCTCTTTAAAGAGTTCCCTCTGAAAAATGAAAAAAGGGGAGAGATTTTAAAAGGGAGAAAAGAGGGAGAGAAGGGGGAGGAGGAGGAGGAAGGAGAAGAAGAAGAGGAAAAAGGAGAAGAAGAGGAGAAAAGAAGAAAAAAGAAGAGGAGGAACTGGGGGAGGAAGGAGGAGGAGGAAGGAGAAGAAGAGAAAAGAAAAAAGGGGAGGAAGGAGGAAGAGGAAGGAGAAGAAGAGGAAGAAGGAGAAGAGAAAAGAGGAAGGAGAAGAGGAAGAATAAGAGGAGGAAGAGAAGAAGAGGAAGAAGAGGGGAGGAGGAGGAAGGAGAAGAAGGAGGAGGGAGAAGAGGAAGAACAAGAAGCGGAAGAAGGAGAAGAAGAGGAGAAAAGAAAAAGGAGGAAGTGGAGGAGGAAAGAGGAAGGGGAAGAAGAAGGGGAAGAGGAAAAAGAAGAAGAGGAGGAAGGAGAAGAAGAAGAGAAGGAGGAGGAAGGAGAAGGGCAGGACCTCCATTTCTATGAATTACTTGATAGCTTCCCTGCTTAAAAACCTGCAAGGTCTGAAATTCTGATGGATTTTTCCATCCCTTTTTTGACTTTTATCCTCTTAGTCTTCCATATTTCATAACTGGCAAACTGAAATGTTTTCCTACAACTACATAACTTCAGGAGCTAAGGAGGATCTTTCAGGCCACCGTTTACCCATTCAACCAATCTGCAGAAGAAATTTAGTGGTTGACATTAAAGGCTACTTGAGGTCAAGGCGTCTGAAAACCACTGGAGTGACCTATCACATGGTGGATGAGCAGACTTTTCCTCACGAGGCCTATTTTATGCATCTGCCTGGCCTCATCATACTCAAACCATGCTTTCACAACAGTACTGCCATCCTTACCCAAAACAAGGCCCGGGAAAAGGGAAGATGAAATAACTACAGAGTTAAAAAGGAACATTCCGTTTGTATGGATATAATAACTTTTAAGTTCCACCATTTTTTTCCAGATATATGTTTGTGTAATACAACAATCTGCAAAGCTTCAAGTACGAACGTATCTCCAACTTAGTGGCACTGTAGCTCCTATTGCACAAATCACTCTTCTAATTGTGGCTACATAGTCATGTGGCAATAGACAGACAGACAGACAGACAAATGATAGAGAGAAAGGCAGGCAGGCAGATAGGGAGAGAGAGAGATGATAAATGATCAAAAGTAAGTAAGTAGAGATGGATTGGTGGTAGATGATCAGTAGATAGATAAGTAGATATAGACAGTAGATAGCGAGAGAGAGAGAGAGAGAGAGAGATGAATGATGGATGGATGGATGGATGGATGGATAGATAGATGAATTATAGTTATCTTCAGTGGTGGGATTCAGCCGGTTCAGATCGGTTTAGGCCGATTCGGGAGAACTGGTAGTTAAATTGCTGGCTGGCCCTGCCCCACTCCTTCCAGTAGTCTCCGCGCGCCACATTTTGGCTCCCAGGTAAGTGCAGGGAGGCTTCCTAGGCCCAAAACAGGGTGCAAGGGGGTGCAGCACCCCCCCTGCCCACCGCAGCCCATTTTCACTCCCAGGAGACTTCAGGGAGGCTTCCTAGGCCCAAAATGGAGGGGGTTAGCGCAGGGAGGGGCGTGTCCCCTGTCCCATCCCCCCACGGCCTGTTTTTGCTCCCAGGGGGTTGCAGGAGGCCGAGTGCTGCCTCTCACACCCCCTGGCCATGCCCACCCAGCCGGTCATTAAGGGAGCGAATGGGTTGTTAAATGATTTGAATCTCAGCACTGGTAACTTGCATAATATATCAAGCTTACAACCAGGTGCACTGTTGGCTTTACCTTCCTTTGTCTTTGGCTCTCCGTGTCCTCCAGGGATTCTTGCAGGACGTGATCTAAGATCTTCATTTCTAAAGCGAGCTCATCCTGCCTTTCTTCATTGAGACGCCTCGCTTTCATCTTCATGGAATCCAGCAACATGTCTCTGCATTCTCTCAGTTTCTCTCGCCTTCTGATCTCGGCTTGTTCGTTCTCCAGTTTCATCAGCTGCCGTTCTTCTTCCTGTGCAAGAGGAGCAGCAGTTGGTTACTCATCACCTTCTGCCTGACAAGTTCCGAAGGAGCAGGAGTTGGACGTAATGACCCACAACATGCTAAAAGGAGTTAAGTAAGCATAATAGATGAAGTAGGTGGGAATATGGAAGGCTGACTTCATCAAGAGGTTCTGATGAATCTGAGAGTCAGCACACAATTTCCATTGTTTTGAGATGGACAACAAAGTAACTGTAGTGTTAATTCTACAGAGGTTTAATATAGTTTAAAGTCTTCTGGGTACCCTCAAACTCCTCGCTAAAATCTAAGGAAGAATGAAAATTCTTGGCTCCAAACACACATGATCCTTTCCTTTCCTTTCCTTTCCTTTCCTTTCCTTTCCTTTCCTTTCCTTTCCTTTCCTTTCCTTTCCTTCCTTTCTCTTCCCTTCCATTCCCTTCCCTTCTCCTCCCTTTCTTTCCTTTCCCTTTCCTCCCTTCTCTTCCCTTCCCTTCCCTTCTCTTCCCTTCCTTTCCTTTCCCTTTCCTCCCTTCCCTTCCTTTCCTTTCCCTTTCCTCCCTTCCCTTCCCTTCCCTTTCCTTCCCTTCCCTTCCCTTCCCTTCTCTTTCCTTCCTTTCCTTTCCCTTTCCTCCCTTCCCTTCCCTTCCCTTCTCTTCCCTTTCCTTCTCTTCCCTTCCCTTCCTTTCCTTTCCTTTCCTTTCCTTTCCTTTCTTTTCCTTTCCTTCTTTCCTTTCCTTTCCTTTCCTTCCCTTTCCCTTTCCCTTTCCCTTTCCCTTCCCCTTCCCCTTCCCTTCCCTTCCCTTCCCTTCCCTTCCTTTCCTTTCCTTTCCTTTCCTTATTACCTCTGTGTCCCAAAATGATTGGGCTACCCCTGTGCATAAGAGGCTGCCCACCTGTGATCTATAGGTGAAATCCATATAACCAATGATATAGCCAACTAACATAAATTATCATCCAATCTAAACCTGAGTGCAAGGACTGCAGAAGGGAGATAATTATGCACAGCAGATTATAGCAAGCCACAATAACTCAGGTTTAATTATAGGCCACTGTCAAATTGAGGGGCTACCAGTTTTTCTTTTTTTTCTTTTTTCTTTTTTTAAATTTGATTTATATGCCACCCTTCTCCGGAGACTCAGGGCGGCTTACAATATGCTCAGAGGCCAAGCTCTGGCTTCTCCCTTTTAAATCTTTTGTCATCTTATGGAACATGGAAAGTCTGTCTTTGTTGTGATTGTCACAAGTCTACAACAGGCTCCAACTGTCCTCCTGTTTAGGAAAGCCCTTCAGACCAGCATTAGAGGCTGATTTAGCCTCTCCTTGTTATCTGCTTGGTCAGCATTTTACAGTTATTGTTATTAACAATTTTCTTTCTTTTTTATTCATTTTAGCTGTTTTTATGCAGTACAGCCATCTGGCATCTTTTTGAATCCTAAAAGTAAACAAATAAGTAAAGACCTCTAAAGGTGTCACTAGAATAGATGAGGTGGCTTTTAGCATTGACAGCTGCTTTTAAAGCAGAGAATAAAATAGAGTAGAGTAGAGTAGAGTAGAGTAGAGTAGAGTAGAGTAGAGTAGAATAGAATAGAATAGAATAGAATAGAATAGAATAGAATAGAATAGAATAGAATAGAATAGAATAGAATAGAACAGAACAGAACAGAACAGAACAGAACAGAATAGAACAGAATAGAATTCTTTGATGGCCAAGTGTGACTAGACACACAAGGAATTTGTCTTTGGTGCATATGCTCTCAGTGTACATAAACAGAAAAAATACATTTGTCAAGAATCATAAGGTACAGCACTTAATGATAGTCATGGGGTACAAATAAGCAATCAAATCATACTAGGAAACAATCAATATAAATCATGAGGATACCAGCAACAAGGTTACAGTCATACAGTCGTAAGTGGGAGGAGATAGGTGATAGGAGCAATGAGAAGATTAATAGTCATAGTAATGCAGCCTTAGTGAATAGTTTGATAGTGTTGAGTGTTAACTAAAACTTTCCATGAGATATAAATCTGAGGACTTTGGGGTCTACAAGGAATCTGTCTTGTAGAGCCTTTGAATGATGGGCTACAGTCCCACCTCCTCCACCCCACAATTGTGTCCACAAAGTCCTGGAAAGATGCAAAGAGGATGCTAAAACACCCAAAAGGTCCCCGACAACAGAACCATACTTGATTGGAAAGCAAGAAAACACACGTCAGAGACCTCTGGGAAAATGCTGGCACTACAGAACAGCCCTGGGAATAGCTACTCGCCTCTGCCAGGCAACGCAGAGTAAGATTGCTGCGGGAAACAAGCCTCCTAAGGGAGATCCATAGCTAGCGTGGCATTTCCATCAGAAGGAAAAGCATCAAGGTAGAAGGATTGGTCATACTCTTGTAACGGGAACTCTGGAGAACTGCTGCCAATCAAACCCAAACATACTGGGCTTGACAGCAAGTCTTTGGGGAGGTGTCGGAAACAAGACAAGACGATCTTGGGGAGCTGCTCAGCTAGTCCTCGACTTAAAACCATTCGTTGAGCCTTAACTAGTCTCCAGGAACACAATGTATTGGGCTGCTCTTATTGATGTCAGCAATATAATATTCATTAGCTAGCATAAAAAAATACCATGTTTCCCCGAAAATCAGACCATGTCTTATATTTTTTTGAACCCCAAAAATAAGCACTTGGCCTTATTTTCGGGGAGGTCTTATTATTTTGGGGCGCGTGGAGCAAGGCGGGACTCCTCTTGCAGTCTTACCTGATTTCCAGCTCTGTCTCCCTAACCCTAGCCAGAGGAAATGGCGGGGACCGTCTGCGCATGCATTTAAATATTTTCGGGGGGGTCTTATTTTCAAGGGGGGGCTTATTTTAGCGCATGCACTCAAAAGGCTGATTGGGCTTATTATCAGGAGATGTCTTATTTTCAGGGAAACAGGGTAGGTTCTTATTCATCTGGGCCCAATCTTGTGTAAATCTGATTTTGACATGTGTGCACTCTAGTTCTAATTGAGGGAATAACAAGCAAGGGGAGTGTGACTTCTAACCGTTCTCAAAATGGAAAGGTAAAGGCAACAGTAACCCACATTCTCATCACCTCTGGGTTGGATAGCTGCAGTGCACGATATATGAGGTGGCTTTGAACAATATTCAGCAACTGCAGCGGGCAGGAAGCACAGTGGTCTAAGAGCTGTGTCGAGTGGTGAAATGTAAAATTTGTTACTACCAGTTCTGTGGACGTGGGTTGGGGAGGTGGTAATGTGACTGGGTGGGCTTGGCCAACTTTAAAAAAAAAAAAAAAACTTTTAAAAGCATTTTTTCTACAACCTCTTTGGCTGAAGAGATTGTTTAAAAAAATGCTTTTAAAAGGCTCTGGCGATCAGGCAACTCAGCTGTGATCGTCAGAGCCTTTTAAAAGCATTTTTTCTACAACCTCTTCGGCATTTTAAAAAATACTTTTAAAAGACTCTGACGATCCCAGCTGAGCCACGCGATCATCAGAGGCTTTTTTTTTTTTATTTTTAAAAGCATTTTTTTCCAGCATAGGCTGTTGAAAAAATGCTTTTAAAAGTAAAAAAAAAAAGCCTCTGATGATCGTGTGGCTCAGCTGGGCATGGGGGGTGGCGGCAGGGATTTTTGCTACCAGTTCTCCGAACCACCCGCCACCATCGCTACCAGATCGGGCAATCCGGTCCGAACCAGCAGCATTTCACCCGAATGTCCCTTTGCATCACTTCCCATATTGCCAGATTAGGATCCCACTTGACAGATAGTCCTCGACATACAACCATTCCTTTAGTGACAGTTTGAAGTTACAACAGCAGTGGAAAAAGTGACTTATCGCCATTTTTCCCCCCTTACACCCATTGCAGGATCTCAGTTAACGAATGTTTCGCTTAGGATCATAAATTTTGGGCTCAGTTGTGGTCCTAAATCAAGGATTACCTGTACCATGGATGGGGGTTTAAAGTTGATTTATGATGATTTTTGCTCAAAAAAATGGCATGGTGATCACCTTTAAAGCGCTCCATGGCTTAGGGCCAGGGTACTTACAGGACCGCCTTCTGCCACCAATAGCCTCCCACCGGCCGGTTCGCTCCCACAGAGAGGGCCTCCTCAGGGTGCCGTCAGCCACACAATGCCGGCTGACGACCCCCAGGAGGAGAGCCTTCTCTGTGGTGGCACCTACCCTATGGAACAATCTACCCCCGGAGATACGAGTGATCTCCGACCTCCGGATTTTTCGTCGGGCTTTAAAAACTTATTTTTTTCAGTTAGCCGGTCTGTCTTGATTTTAGGGTTAGTTTTAAAATTTTAATATTGATTTTAATTGACAAGTTTTAAATTATGGGCCAAATTTATAAATTATTTTAACTTTATTTTTAACTGTGATGTTTGTATAGATGTTTTTATCTTGGCTGTTCACCGCCCTGAGTCCGAAAGGAGAAGGGCGGTATAGAAATTTGAATAATAAATAAATAAATAAATAAATAAATTTACTTCCAGTTTCTGGCCCCCCAAAAAAAACCCGCTCATTGTGAACCTTGGATTCACTTTATGACCACTGCAAAAATGTTATAAAATGGGGCACGGTCACAGGGTGACCCTCTCGATGACCAGTATGATGTGCGACCATCATTCCAGACTCAGCTACAGTCGTAACTCGAGGACTCCCTGTAATGAGGAAATGAGAAGCTACTACCTTACCATCAGTTTTGCCTCTTCTTCCTTCAGTCGCCTCGCCTCTTCCCTTTGAGCATCCGCGATGGCTTTCTGGGCATTGAGCGTGTTAATCATTTCCTCTCTCCAACCGGATCGTTTGTTGGCCTCCTCAAAGGCTCGTTTCTCCTTGGCTAACCGGTCCTCTTCCCAGAGAGTGGTGTACATGGCCTCCTCCATCTCCTTCTGCTTGTTCAGCTCGTCCTTGAGAGCCAGCTGGGTCACTCGGTCTTTACAGACCTCCTTCAGGTGCTGCTGGCTTAATAATAACCGCACCTCCTCACAAGTTTCTCTGAAACGCAAATAAGAAGGAGAGCAATTTTAATTTTGGGTTGCAAGATCCAATCTGGATCAGTCCCTCGAACCAGAAGTTTGTCTTCCGAAGCTTTCGGACTCGTGCTGGAACCCATCCTCAGGGAACTTCTCTCTACCGGAATATGCGCTTTGGGCTATTCTACGTTTCGCATTTATGTGATGCCTTCCTATTTATTGATTGATTGATGTGTTGATGGACGGTGATTTAATTTTTACTACATATGAGGAGAGAAGGTTTTCTATTGGGCAAATAACAGGGGTGCTATTCAGCAGGTTCTGACAGGTTCTGGAGCAGTGGTGAAATCCAATTTTTTTTACTACTGGTTCTGCGGGCGTGGCTTGGTGGGCGTGGTGTGGCTTGGTGGGCGTAGCTTGGTGGGCGTGGCAGAAGAAGGATACTGCAAAATCCCCATTCCCTCCCCACTCCAGGGGGAAGGAGATTGCAAAATCTCCATTCCCACCGCAGTCTGGGGCCAGCCAGAGGTGGTATTTGCCAGTTCTCCAAACTACTCAAAATTTCTGCTACCGGTTCTCCAGAACCTGTCAGAACCTGCTGGATTTCACTTCTGTTCTGGAGAACCGGTAGTGGAAATTTTGAGCAGTTCGGAGAACTGGCAAATACCACCTCTGGCTGGCCCCAGACTGTGGTGGGAATGGAGATTTTGCAGTATCCTTCCCCTGGAGAGGGGAGGGAATGGAGATTTTGCAGTATCCTTTTCCTGCCACGCCCACCAAGCCACGCCCATAGAACCGCAGTAAAAAAAATTGAATTCCACCACTGGAAAATAAAATGTTATGGTAGGATATATAAGTATGGGTACACATTAGGCCCAAATGTATTTATTCATTGTGCTGTAAACTACCAATACTAGGTTCCAAAGGTGTCTTTTTCGAAAGACACCTTTGGACTTTCTTTTTTTTTCCTTGAAGACGTTTCGCTTCTCATCCAAGAAACTTCTTCAGTTCTAAAGGGTGACTGAATGGTGGAGAATGGGAGGATTTGTGTTCTTGCAGTTGTCTGGTTGTTAGCACTCTCTCTGAGAGTCATTGAGCCCACTTGGAGATCACTATTCAGGTGATCCTGAGGGCACAAATAAGCCTCCAAGTGGCCTCAATGACTCTGAGAGAAAGTGCTAACAACCAGACGACTGCAAGGAATATAAATCCTTCCATTCCATTCTCCACCATTTAGTCAGAACTGAAGAAGCTTCTTGGATGAGAAGCGAAATGTCTTCAAGGAAAAACAAAGGAAGTCCAGTTACCTCTTGAAAAAAACACCTTTGGGACAACCATGATCTGGACGACTGAGAATCTCCATAGACATTTGACAATAACAGTTTTCTGGGTCGAGGTAGGAGAAGAAAGGGTATGATTTCTTCAGTGGAAAAATCATTTAAATTTTAAGCATATACAGGTAGTCCTCGACTTATAACCACGATTGAGCCCAACATTTCCACCGATATGCAAGAAAGGCGTTAAGTGAGTTTTGCCCCATTTTACGATCTTTCTTGCCAGAGTTGTTAAGTGAATCCCAGCGGTTGTTCAGTTAGTAACATGGTTGTTAAGTGAACCTGCCTTCCCCCATTGACGTTGCTTGTCAGAAGGTCGTAAAAGGAGAACACATGACCTCAGAACACTGCAACCGTCATAAATACGAACCAGTTTGCTAAGGGTGCTAATTTTGATCACATGACCACAGGGAGGCTTCAATGGTCGTAAAATGTGACAGCCGATCATAAGTCACTTTCTTTAGTGCCATTGTAACTTTGAACAGTCACTAAATGAATGGTTATAAGTCAAGGATCTGTATCTGAATAGCAACTGTTTCTTGCTGGCACCAATCTGGGCAATTCTAGGTTACAGAAGAAGCCCTACAAGAATGAGGTGAAACCAGGGGTGAAATGCTCCCGGTTCGGACCGGATCGCCCGATCCGGTAAAGATGGAGGTGGGTGGTTCAGAGAACTGGTAGCAAAAATCTCTGCGCCCCCCCCCCCATGCTCAGCTGAGTCACACGATCATCAGAGGCTTTTTTTTTTTTACTTTTAAAAGCATTTTTTCTACAACCTCTTCCAACGAAAAAATGCTTTTAAAAGTAACAAAAAAAAGCCTCTGATGATCACGTGGCTCAGCTGGGATCCTCAGAGGCTTTTCAAAGCATTTTTTTTTCTGCAATCTCTTGGCCGAAGAGGTGGTTAAAAAAAAAGCTTTGAAAAGTCTCTGACGATCCCAGCTGAGTTGCCTGATCGCCAGAGGCTTTTCAAAGCATTAGAAAAAATGCTTTGAAAAGTTAAAAAAAAAAAAAAGTTAGCCACGTCCACCCAGTCACATTACACCCCCCTCCACCAAGCCACGCCCACAGAACCGGTAGTAACACATTTTACATTTCACCCCTGGGTGAAACCCTCCCAGGTGTTCTCTAGGACCATATCCAAGTTCTCCTTCAAATGGGACTCCAAATATGGAGAGGGGAAATTCAATGTTTTCGTTTTTCTCTTCTCACAGCTTTCGAAGTGGCCCTGAAAGGGTACCGCCAAAAGAAGAAGAAAAAAACAAAGAAAAGAAAGGAACCGTTTAGCCCCTTCGGTTATTGGCATTTGTGGCCAGCAAAACAGCATTTGGCTCCTCTGCATTTACAGGATGCTCCCTGTCCAAATTTTATCCTTCCAACAAGATTATTAAACCAGACTATAACCAACTCTGTGGCTGATTTGTGTCACTGTCAAAGGACATCTGGGAATATATTTTCAGCATGTCGGCTTTGTCTCTTTCCAAATGAGAAGCCCAAACAACCACAACACCAACGTAAATTACTGACTGTCTAAGAACGAACCGTCACTGAAAAGAATTCTGTCAGAAATTACTTGGCTCTTGGGATGCAGGCTGGTATCTCTGAAAGAGATTAACTCAGCTGGCAAAAGAGTCATTTTGCCCATCAGGAGAGACAATGGGCATAGGAGATAGGCAGGGCCGGATTTTCCTATAGGCTAACTAGGCTTCAGCCTAGGGCCTCAAGATCAAGAGGGGCCTCAAGATCAAGAAGGGCCTACATTCAAATTGTTAGCAAAATTAAAATTACACTTTCATTATAGGTGAAAGGGCCTCCTAAGTGGAATAGCCTAGGGCCTCTTTTCATCTAAATCCGGCCCTGGAGATAGGAGTGGGTGGGAAGGGAGGATGGAATGGCTTAACAGGAGTAATGGCTGCCTTTCTGTCCACAAAATTCAAAAGGCTTCCATGCCAGTCCTTGCTACTTCTGTTGCTCCTCTGAATCTTAATCTCCTCTCCCAAGCTAATAGAGGGAAGAAAGGGGCCCTACTGGATTCTGCACAGCTAAATCTAAACCCCTAGGGCAGGGGTCAGCAACCTGCGGCTCTGGAGCCGCATGTGGCTCTTTCACCCCTCTGTTGCGGCTCCGTCACTCAAGACGAGACCGTCTTTTGCCACCAATAGCCTCCCACCGACCAGTTCGTTCGCACAGGGAGGGACTACTTGGTACCGTCAGTCAAATCATGCCGACTGGCGACTCCCAGGGGGAGGGCCTTCTCTGTGAGGGCTCCAACCCTTCGGAATGAACTGCCCCCTGAGATACGAAATATCCCTGATCTCCGTGCTTTCCGTCATGCCCTCAAGACCCTGATGTTCCGACAGGCAGGGCTAAACATGAATATGTGAATGTTTTTAAAATGTTATCTAATTTTAGGTTCTATTTAATTGGGCCAAACTATGTTATAATAATAATTTTAATTAGCAATTTTATGATGTTTGTGTATCTATATTTTTCTTGACTGTACACTGTCTTGAGTCCTACGGGAGAAAGGCGGTATAGAAATATAATAAATAAATAAATAAGTAAATAAATAAGTAAATAAATAAATAAAATATGCGTCACAGCCACCAATGTGCAACACCCACTGGCATGGTAGGCCAACCATGGATAAATCCAAGAAAGGAAAAGTTTCAGAAGAAAACAGAATGTTTAATTCAGCTACATATGCTAGTTTTGTGGCCACTCAAGAAATAGTCAGGCACGGGAAGGGTTTTGTGGCTCCCGGTGTTTTTTTTTCTGTGGGAAACGGGTCCAAATGGCTCTTTGAGTGTTTACCCCCTAGAGCACGGGTGTCAAACTCAATTTCATTGAGGGCCGCCTCCGGGCTGTGATTAACCTCGGGGATTGACTTCTGACTCCCTTTGATGCAATAGAATAAGATAATAGCATCAAATCTAAACTTTTTTACTTTTAAATAGTCAGATAAACCAGCCATTTCTATAACAACAAGCCTATCTAGTTGGCAAAACACAAAATCAGAGTTTCGGTTTTTTTCCATCTCAAGCACAAAGTCCAGAAGCGGTTTCCAAGTAGAAACAAAAATAATTTTGTTTTTTCTCTGATCAAAGCAGTCAATTTAGCCATCTATGCTAACTCTATAAACTTTTGCAGCCATTCCTCCATTGTGGGAATCAACACTCTCCCTGAGAGCTCTTGAAGCCACTTGGGGGTTTATCTGTACTCTCAGGGTCACCTGAATCAGGATGCCATTGCTTGTGGAATCTTCTTGGATAGAGAGCTATCCAAGACAAGTCAAATATCAAGTCATATTTGAGACAACAATGACCTGGATGACTGAGAATCTCCACAGACATTCCTAGAGGGACATTCCTAGATTTGGCTCACTTACCGGAACTGCAGTTCCCGTTTTTCCGCCACTAGGTTCCGCCGAGCCTCTTCCCTCTTCTCCCTCAGCTCCTTGGCTCTCATTCTCATGCTATTCCTACGACTGTCGATGGTTTCTTCCTGTGATTCCATTTCGGCAATAAAGCCCTTCTCTTCAGTTTCCAGGAGATCCCGAAGTCTGAAAAGAGACAGATGCAATTGGGCTTTTCTTGAAATCAAGCTAATAAAGATTTTACAAATGTTTAGCTGTAAGATTTTAAACTGTAAGAACACCAAATACAAGCTGGGTGGATATGACCTCGTAGACGTCCCCCACTCTGTCAAGGATCTGGGACAGGGGTGAAATCCAGCAGGTTCTGACAGGTTCTGGAGAACCGGTAGCGGAAATTTTGAGCAGTTCGGAGAACCACTAGCAGAAATTTTGAGTAGTTTGGAGAACTGGCAAATACCACTTCTGACTGGCCCCAGAGTTGGGAGGGAATTGAGATTTTGCAATATCCTTCCCCCAGGAGTGAGGAGGGAATGGGGATTTTGCAGTATCCTTCCCCTGGAGTGGGGAGGGAATGGAGATTTTGCAGTATCCTTCCTCTGCCATGCCCACCAAGCCATGCACACCAAGCCACACCAAGCCCACCAAGCCACGCCCACAGAACCGGTAGTAAAAAAATTTGGATTTCACCACTGACCTAGGAGTACTCATCTCAAATGATCTAAGCCCCAGAGCTCACTGTAGCAGTATTGCCAAAAAGGCATTAAGAGTTGTTAATCTAATTTTGCGAAGCTTCTTCTCCGGTAACATCGAACTGCAAACTAGGGCATACAAAACCTATGCCAAACCAATTCTGGAATACAGTTTGTCTGCCTGGAATCCACACTGTATATCGGACATTAATACAATTGAGCGGATCCAGACGTATTTCACAAGAAGAGTACTCCACTCCTCTGCTCACAATAGAATACCTTATGCCACCAGGCTTGAAATTTTGGATAACCTGGAACTACGCCTAAGTATAGTAGCGGCCCCTAGGGGGAGAGCCTTCTCTGTGGGGGCACCTACCATCTGGAATGAGCTCCCCCCGGAGATACGGAGGATCCCGGATCTGCGCTCCTTCCGCCGTGCTGTGAAGACCTTTTTATTCCATCAAGCGGGCTTGGCCTAATCTCTTCCCTTTTTAAATATGTAAATTTTAATCTGTTTTTAAATTATTGGGGTATTTTAATTTGTCTGGGCCAAATAATTTAATTTGATTTTATTGGGTTTTTAAATTTTGTGTATTTATGTATTTTATTGTTGGCTGTTCACCGCCCTGAGTCCTTCGGGAGTAGGGCGGTATACAAATCAAATAAACTAAACTAAACTAAACTAAACTAGTACACAAAATTGTCTGCTACAACATCCTACCTGTCAACAAATGACTTCAAGCTTCAACCACAATAATACATGGGCAATCAATCGATACAAACACAAGGTAAACCGCTCCAAACTCGATTGCAGAAAATACGACCTCAGCAACAGAGTGGTCAATGCCTGGAATGCACTACCTGACTCCATTGTTACATCCTCAAACCCCCATAGCTTCAACCTTAAACTGTCTACTGTGGCCCTCACCCCATTCCTAAGAGGTAAGGGGGCGTTCATAAGCACACCAGCGTGCCTACCGTCCCTATCCCGCTGTCCCATTTATTTGTACTCATTTCCTGTGCTCATGTCCATGTTTATACATATACCTGTTATCTCGTACATGTTTGACAAACTAAAGAAATAAAAGGAATAAAATAAAGATGGTTGGACTTCAACTCCCAGAATTCCCCCGTTTTCCGAATTTTCAGATAAAGGATCTTTGGTACATCTCAACACCCCAGTGGTGAAATGTAAAATTTATTACTACCGGTTCTGTGGGCGTGGCTTGGTGGGGGGGTAATATGACTGAGTGGGCATGGCCAACTTTTTTTTTTTTTTTACTTTTAAAAGCATTTTTTCTACAACCTCTTCAGCTGAAAAAATGCTTTTAAAAGCCTCTGACGATCTCAGCTGACTTGCCTTGTTTTTATTTTTAAAAGCATTTTTTCGGCCGAAGAGGTTGTAGAAAAAATGCTTTTAAAAATAAAATAAAAAGCCTTTGATGATTGCGCGGCTCAGCTGGGCATGGGGTTGAGAAGGGATTTTTGCTACCGGTTCTCCAAACCACCCGCCACCATCGCTACCGGATCGAACGATCCGATCCGATCCGAACCGGGAGGATTTCACCCCTGCAAGACCCTATTGTTAATTAAACCGAAGCAAACCACATAATTCTTTAATGCTTGTTTCTTCCCCTGTGGCTTATGAATTATAATTTGTGTTCAACATTTTAGGTGAACGTGGCTTAAGGCTTTCCAAGATCATTTGAACTGGAGATTAAATGTGCGCAGTCTGCTAAGGTACTACAATAGTCCTCATTCTATGACTGTAAGTGCCTAACACCTACCTCTTGTTAAGTTACAGGTAGTCCTCGACTTACAACCACAATTGAATCCAAAATTTCTGTTGCTCAGCAGGACAGTTGTTAAGTGAATTTTGTCCCATTTTATGACCGTTCTTGCCAGTTTTTAGTTGAATCACTGCAGTCGTTCAGTTAGTAGCACGGTTGTTAAGTGAATCTGGCTTCCCCATTGTCTTTGCTTGTCAGGTTGTAAAAGGTGATAACTCTGGGATACTACAACCGCCATAAATGTGAACCGGTTGCCAAGTATCTGAATTTTGATCCTGTGACCATGTTACAGTGGTCGTAAGTGTGAAAAAATGGTCATAGAGGTTACTTTTTTCAGAGCCGTTGTAACTTTGAATAGTCACTAAATGAATGGTTGTAAGTCAGGGACTACCTGTATTCTAAAGTATACTTTCTCCTTTTTGATGTGAAGGAATGTAGCAAAAATAAATGGTGAGAAAGAAAATTGAAATAAACCTCATTTTATTTTTATTTTATTTTTTTATTTTTTATTTTATTTTATTTTTATTTAGTGTAAAGACGGTAGAGAAATAA